TGCATGAGCCAACTGATACTGCTGAATAAAGTAATAGAAACACAAATTATTACATGCTCTTCGCATCTAAAGACTTAAAAGTTAGGAGGAACTAAAAGGTGATATTATTTGATATTTCTCTTCTAGACAGAAGCCACTGCATCTAGTATGTAACTAACCAAGAGCTCCATGTAGCACGCCTACTCAAAGGTCAATGGCTCCCAACAGGCACCACACAGAAGCAGAAGGGCACCCTACTTACGGATGTCTAGCCAGTAGCAGTGGCTTCTGTAACCTAAAGATACACAAAATCAAGTTTCTCAAATAATTCCTCTCCTGCCACTTTAAGGATGTATTAATTTAATTGGATCCTTGATTCTTTAATTGAACTTCTAAGCAAGTGCTCTATTTCAATGGTATAGTAGCTCTACCAGAAATGCAATATAGCCACAAATGCAAGCCCTATATGTAATCTTAAATGCTCCAATAGTCACACAGAAAAAAGGTCAGGAAAGACAGGTTAAAAATGAATACTTTGTAATGTATGAGATTTTAACATAAAGCCATATTAAAAAAGCCATATTAAACAGTTACTGAATTTTACATTTTTATACTGTCTTTGAAAAAGTCAATGAATAATTAATATTTAACCACATTTCAGTGCTCAGTAGTCACATAGGGCCAGTGGTAACCATACTGGACAACACAGTTTCTTTATACTATTTGACACTACAATAGATCTCACAATGCTTTAAAACTGGATCACATTCCTGGAATGTACCTAAAAACATTTCCTTGACTAGCTTGTCAAAAAGGTGGTAAAATTAGTTATTTTTGTAAACAGGGTAAACTAACTTGCTTATAAGAAATTTACAAATTTAATAGTTCTCAGTCATGAATCATCTATCTCAGCTTTAGGATGTTTAAAATAGGCTTTGGATTATAGGTAGCTATTCCCATAATCACTGTCTGCATTCATTCAGAAAGGCATGTCCCAAATGGTACACATTAGCTGGAAATATTTAGGTAAGAAAAGAGATGGGAAAAAATTATAATAAGGAAGATGGATTTTGATAGATTGTCTTTTTGCTGATATATTCTATTTTGTTAAATAGTGATGGGGTAGAAGATTTATCAGTCCTGCTTCCAATTAAGGCACTAAAGATTAGAGAAGTCAAAACAAAACTAGAAATGTTATTTTCCTTCGTTTAAGCATAAGCCGACCAAAGTTTCGCCCCTCTTTTTCTGTGCAAGTGTATTAACCACAGTGGACTTGCTTAACCAGGCATGACTCCCATTCTAATCTCCCACTTAAATTGCAGGGGCTTATTTTGTTTCTAATTCAGAGAAAGGAAGAGGAGGTGGAGAGGCAGGTAAATTTGATTCAGGTAAATTCACAGGACCTTTCCACCTGTGCTCTCACAATTGTGTCAAATGAAGCTTTCTGTATCGTGCTTCAAGAGTTAATGTTTGATAATTAAAATAACCATTCTCTATTAAGGGAATAATATATCCTGATGGGCTAAAGTACTTCATGGAATTCCTTTCTAGCCCTGAATTTTATATCTTACCAAGAAATGAAACTGACAAAAGTATACTTTAAAGTCATAAACCATGTAGGCTAATTTAGAATAAAAAACTGACCTTCAAATTTGGAGACCAGCTGTGTTCATCATTTCATCATCACACTGGGGAAAGCACAGGGTACCAGGCACTGTACTAGCTAGACGTGGTGAGATTTACAGGGCTCAGGGTAATCACAAACTTTGAAGGCCTCCCCTTACTTACATCTGCACAAATGCAATCCTTATACTAAAAAAATAAAGCCTGGAATATTACTAAGTCAGCTGGTAGTCACAGGGAAGGTAATGAGTACTGATCTCTCCAGTGTCTGCTAAGGGCAGTGAGTTTCTTGAAGCAGTAGCCATGTCCAGCATGGAGGCAAAATAGAACTTTTAATTTTTGCATTGGTGGTTTTATAGTTTTGGTCTTGAGTAACACCTGTACCCTACACCAGGTCAGAACAGTACTTGGCATGACCAACCTTAGTCATCACTTTGGTAAGTGCCATGGCACGGGCCACTGTTGCTAACCACCATCCTGGTGCAGGTCCTTCACATCTGCTCTCCTATGGATGGAAAAAAGGAGTGTCTAGTGTCCATTCTTTGGCCACATCACCTCCAACCCTATCCTTCACTCACACGCCTTTAATTCAGGCCCAGGAGAAAATGATCTTTGAGAAGGAAAGTTATCCAGACAAGGCTATAGTATAGTCTGAGCACAACAGAATAGGATGCAGAACCTCCTTAGAATGACATTTGAGGGAACTGACCAGTAGCACAATGCTGAAGAGGATGATTAGGAAGTATCCTGGCAAACATTGACTCTGACAGACACAGGAGCACAGAGACAGAGCAAAGGTCTGCATTTTGGAAAATGAAGTCCTCAGTCTCTATTATGCAACTAGAAAGCATGTATGTGAAAGTTTTATAAACTGTTTAAAAGGAAATGGATTATCATTCATTAACTTGGAAATGATCTCAGCAATTCTTTGGGCCTTGCTTTTCCCCATGGTAAATCTGACAACTTTGTAGTAATGATAAAGCAAAACTTGAGCTCCTTGGAATTAAGATGCATGTGAGAATACCAATAAATTCCTCCATTTGAAATGGTCAGTTCTCCATATTAAATATCTTATCTTAAACTTCATAAACCAGCACAAGCGTTATCTTCCCTGTGAAACAGGCCCAGACTTATCAAGACAGAATGGACTGCTCCTTTGCCTGGGGCTTTCCGTTCAACATAGACCTTACTGTGTCATCCTTTCTTTCCACTTTGAATTCTAAAATAGCTTGCAGCCATTTCCTCCACCAAAGGTAGAAACTGTCTCCTTAACCTCACTTTCCCTCAGCTCCTAGCACAGTGCCTTGAACAGTGTAGCTGCTTATTTTTATACTGACTTTAGTCTACTTTGGCTTTATGGAATGTCCTTTACTTAAACAAAAAACCCCATAAAATCAAAAACACAACAGTGAAAAGAAGACATTTAAGACAAACATATAAGACACATAAAGAATGGTTTCATTCTTTGCATTCCTGCTTTGGAATGCCCACTGCTGATCTCATATAGTTCTGTCCCTGTTATTAGTGAGAGCCAAGGTTAGAAAGCACGAAAAGGCAGACAATGTAAAAAACCCATCACATAGCATGCAAAAAACTGTTTAGGACTATGCTCAAGGTTGCCTTTTGCTTTAACTTTAATGACAGCCACTAAAGTCAACCCAATATACACTTGGCTCTGCTAAAACTTCAAACACCTTCTGACTGAGCCGGGCATCTGCTGGGTGTCTCTGGGTAAGTTCACATCTTCTATGAAGCATAGAAGTTTGGGTTTTTGAGACTAGCTGTTTTTGTAATTTATTTGTTGGCAGTTCTTGAATACGTGGATTATCTCAGATTAAAATAAGGATCTAGTGTTGTTTTCTGTTCTCGTCACAGGTATTCCTTAAGAAATGATACCCCTCTCAGAAATTCAAGTGCCAGAATTATACTGCATTATTTTGGTAATTCTTTGGCACATCTCCCACTTTCCTAGCTTGGAATTCTTACTCATCCAGGATATGTGAGCTAGATGAATAGCATATCACTGGTAAAAATGAAATTATTTAACTTAACTGGGTTATTACTCTAACTTACTAATATGAGTTCTTATGCAACTGTTTCATTAGCAACTGTTTCATTAGCTGCATCAGATCTTTTTGAAGGTAGCCAAGCACAAATCTTATATATTCATTCAGAATTTGCTATCCTCTCACCTGTAAGGATTGCCCTATGAGTATGTTCTCTTTGACTAAATTCTTTCATGGAAGGCCCTCGAAGAACATGTCTATTCTATACCAAGTATGGACAATTTCATTTGCAAATAGGTAACAATGCTTTTGAAGTTTGTGAACACAGTTAGCTGTAAATTCTGACCTTTTGGGGAAAGGAGGAAAATTTAAAAGGACTAGCCAAAGTCACTACATTATAGTCATACTAGTTTTTAATAGATGAAGCTACTTATTTCTAAATAACTTCTACTACTTTATCAGTGTCCTTTGACGAAAGCTCAGACGCGCCCACTTTTTTGTTTCCCTTTAACCAGCTGGCTAAAAAGCCAAAATGCTTTCCCATTCCAGTTGTTACTTCTCTTGACTGAGGGTTACTAGTCTTCACACAGTAGTTGTGAGAAAAAGGAGATGACCAGAAGAAATGCACTAAGTGGCAGCTGCTACCAGAACAGAGAAACACTCATTCAAGATGGCTGAAAGGAGACAGTGAACTCAATGTCTGACTGGAAAATAAAGCAACTCAGCCAAGCGTGAAAGCAATTAATATTTTCTGTCAGCTCCTCCAAGAACTAGATGCTGGGTAGTATATATTTAATTATTTTCAAAAATGGCTATTTATGGAGGGAAAGGAGGTGTGAAGCAAGAAGGGTAGAGCGTTTTCATAACCCCTCAGTAGTAGATATGCCTGCTTTCAGAAAATCCATCATTTGAGCTATTCCTTTTCACTTTTTCCTGTTGAGGGCATAACATTAGAATTCTTGGTTTCAGCAGCAACCCCAAAAGATAGAGAATTGCAAACTTGCACATCAAAAATGAAAAAAAAAAAAAAAGAAAAAGCATCATGATTTGGAACAAAACCCAAAACAGATTACAACAAAAAGTACAAGCAGCAGCAAAATCATTAAACCTAACTCATAAGCATCTTTTTGAAGACAGGGAGGTTAGTTGGTTAAATGTCACAGTGAGTGGGCAGTTGCTCTCCTAGCTTTCCATTTAAGTGCTTCAGAATGCACATCCAGAAGCGGCACATGTAGGGAAACCATGGTAGCCAAAAGAAACTACTGCTGCTGGCCACCCTGTGCACTCAACATGGGTTTCCAGAGTTGCTGTTCTACAGTACCTCTCAGTGAGAGAGACAAAGAAATAGAACACTTTTAGAAACCAAGCAAAATATGGATGGGAATACAATACCTGGAAAGTTTATCAAGCATGTTGACAAGTTTCATGGCTTCATATTCTTTTTGTTCTTCTGTCATTTCATCTATGGGGTTTGGCATTGGTTCCTCTAAATGACCAGTGATAAGATTAATGCTACAAAAAGAAAAAAAAGTTATGCTGTATGCTTTAAAATTATGCTCTTTCTATACTTTTCTGGTCCAAGTTGTAAGTTATAATAAGAAAGAGTATAATAGCCAAAAAAAAAAAATTGGCAATAATAGTAATTTTATAGTATAGAACTGCTGTCAAAATTTAAAAATTACTTTCCCTACTGATTTGCTTTGGGGATTGGGCACTAACTAGTTTTATTTTGAAAGTAAAACTAATTTGCGAACTTATTTTTTTTAAAGCATGATTGATTTTTAAAAATATCAAATTTGGTGCCGTTAGAATAAACATCCTTGGATGCACAGTTTAATCATTAACTATAAGGGATTAAATTATTTCAGAGAAGAACATATCCATTTCATGATACAGCATAAAACAGTGTCAAAAAAACTGGGAAAATGGCAAGAGGCTGGAATCTGAAAATGAAAGCATGCCAATTTATAATCTCAGGAAATTAGTCCATTAGTGAGACCACAGAAGGCAATGAGTGTTTAAATAATAAAAGAGAAAGCAGAAGAACAATTTTAATTAGATTTTATCTGACCTACATTTAAAAAAAAGTAATGAGGCCTAGCTTATCAAGAGATAGGTATACCATCTGGTTTTCTGTAAATAGATTTAACATAGTACTTAAAATAAACACCTTTCATAACTTTGCACAAAGTTCTAATACCAAACAAGCTATATCCTCAGAGATAAGCACCATACTGTTTTTCTCTTGAGGTGAAATAATAGGTGGTAATTCTTTTAGTGGCTTTTAAATAGCTACATCTTAAGCATCTTTCTGAAGAAACAGACAAGAAGTTATATAGTATTTTGTACTAGTTAAATACAGATGGCTTGTTTTAAATGATAGTGAAATATCCTTGCCAACAGCTAGTATATTGCTTTATCAGGTTACAAACTAATGCAGGCCCTTCAGGATAAGCAAGTGACTTCGTCAAGTATAACAATGTGGAAATTACTGGGGGTAAACTGGAAAGCAGAGTTACATTAAAAGGGGGAAAAAAAAATGTAAGCCCAACTAAAAACACTGAGATTGGGTCCTCTAGCAGCAAGTAAGTGTACTTAATACTTTCACTTGGGCAAACTAACTTACTTTATTGATCAGGACTCTTTTCACTTGGAATAAAAGGCGGGATACTAGGCATCATCTATTACCAAAATCTTCTTTTTTCTACATTCCTCAGAGGCTACATGATATAGAATCTTGTGGTAGAACTTGGTTCATTCAAGAAATGAATCCGAAACAGCTGTTTAATCATTTTGTCTAAGACCTTTGTCCAGAGCTATGTAAACTTTTCCCCTTCAAAGGAGTACAGCCCCCTCCCACCCCATTTTAGTTTTGACAGGTGAAATCTACACAGAAAGCTAACATCTAAAGTAGATGACAGGCTACTGCTGAGGCAGAAGAGAGGATGGGGTTCCTGAGAGTGGGTTTTCAGAGTTCCTTCTGTGTGCCTGCACTCACTTGTTTCCTCATAAGGGCGCTCCTAAGGCACTTTCTGGAAGTCTGGTGCTCTAGGGAAAACAATCTGGAAACCCACGGGCTTTTGATTCTTAGGGAAACTTAAAGGAATTATACCTTACCTAAGACTAAATCTATACTTTTTAAAGTTTTCCAGGTGATTTTGATAAATAATTCAGTTATAAATCACTGGCAAGACACTCATTGTGCTATTAATTCCTCTCCTTTTTTTACAGGTGCTCATAAAGGAGAAAGGCCTCTAGGTAGTGGTTATTAACAAAAATGCTGAATGGGGTCATCATATTTCGCAAGTCAGGAGCAAAAACCCAGACAAGACTTCTGAGAACAATGACATCTTTAAGATGTGTTCAGATGCCACACTGAAAATGTAATTCTAGTACTCATCTATTTTCACTGGTTTCTTCCCTGCTAACTTAGAAAAACCAGTCTTATAAATAAGTAAAGGTACTTATTATAGATCATTAAGTACTACACAGCCTTCTAGAGAGAGCTTCTCTCAAGTTCAGTGGAGGGATGATTTAAATAGATCCATAGACTGTTTTGCAACTTACTAGCACGTTCAGAAAGTACCTCAGGAGGACACACTAATAGATCCTGGGGTTCTGTGGATACCATCACATACAAAAATCAAGGTCTGAATTCCTGGAGTAGGGCACATTTGCTTTATTTGATCTTTTAAGGACGTAGATTAATGATAATGTTTTCTATAAGCTGACCTCAAATCCTCTGCTGCTCAAATGACTTATAACTTTTCTGAAATTAGTTCCTACCCACTAAGCCAAAAATTCAATCTTGTACAATAAGGCTTACCATACTTTACCCATGGAATAAAACATTTCAACCCTAAGTCATTTCAGAAATTTAGATATGATGGGGACCACAGCCACTCAACTTCATTAGGTTACTAATGTGAGAATGCAGGTCTAACATTAAAGATTCTCCTTTTTCAAAGTCTTAACAGTCCATATTTTCAACCACATTATCTGCATTCGAAACACTGGCAATTTTAAGAAGCACTATGTGAAATGAAACAAAACACAAAATCAAACTACCAATACAACATGGGGCTAAGTCAAACAGAACCTACTTGCAGGCTCACAGCCTGCCACCTCTTTCCTAGACCAGGAATGGGGGGTGGGGGGAGGAGGGCAAGAAAGTAAATACTGAATGTAAAAAAAGCTGGAAATGCCTTTCCAGGAAAAACTCAGAAAATCTGTTCGCCCAAACACGCAAAGCAGATGGAAAATTTTCACATCTCGATTATCTAAAATTCGATCCCCTTGGCCTCCCACTTCCCAATTAGAAGTGGAGCTTGGAGAAGGTAGGTAACTCAATCATCTTGCTTATCCTAAGGCTGAGAAGAGGCTAACCAACTCAAACTTAACTCAGAAAGTCAATTTACTGAGCAGCTACTGTGTGCCAGGCACTATTCAAGAGCTAGCTCAACAAAACAAATCTCTCCCCTCCTGGAGTTTATCTTCTAGTGGGGAAAACAACTTAGAAGGTAAACTGTATGGTATGTTAGAAGGTGGTTAAAGTACTACGAAAATAAAAAAGGCAACACAAGGAAGTGTGGGCTAAAGGAAGTGTGGGCTAAAGGGAGGGAGTGTTAAAATTTTTCATGGGACAGAACCAGCTTCACTGAGGTGAGGATGAGGGAGGAGAGAATAGCAGATGGGATAGTCAGTACATAAGCCTCACGCAGGAGTATATCTGCTACATGACGAGCAGTGAACAGGCCAGTGTGATGTAGCACTGTTAGAAAGGGTGGAGGCATATCACTCCATAGACTGGTTTTTTAGCGATGTAGTTTGGAGCAGTGACAAGGACTCTCACTTTATAAGGCTCACGCTGGTTGCTGCTGAGAACAGATTAAAGAGTGACAAAGTTAGAAGTTATAGGACTAGTTAGGAAGGTAGTAAACTGATCCTAGAGGAAGAAAATTTTGACTTGGATCAGGGTTGGCATTAAGGGACAGCTGAATTCTGAATGCACTGTGAATATGTGGATTAGGAAAAACTGAACTTTTGTGCTTTTTAATACCAGATTTTACACAAATACATGTTTTCACTTATTTTCTCTTATGGTTATATCAAAGAAAGAGAATAGATGTTTTAAGAACCACAAACTATTTGAAAGGCAAATTCATTCTTCCCTTTGACTAGGGGAGGAAAAATATTCTCACTGTTAAAAAGACAAACTGACTTCATAGCCACTAGGATAGGTGATGCGTATATAAAACCACAGAAAAGAACAAATACTGGAGAGGATGTGGAGAAATTGGAGCCCTTGTACACTACTGGTAGAAATGTAAAATGGTGGGGTTCCTCAAAAATTAAACCTATATGATCCATCAATTCCGCTTCTGGGTATATATGCAAAAGAACTAAAAGCAGAGACTGGAACAGATATTTCTATAGCTGTGCTGATAGCAACATTATTGACAATAGCCAAAGGTAGAAAGAAACCATAATACATCAATAGGTGAGTAAACAAAGCATGGTATATAAACTGGAATATCATTCTGCTTTAAAAAGGAAGGAAATACTAATGCATGCCACAGTATGGATGAATAGTAAAGATATCATTCTAAGTTAAATCAGCTAGTCACAGAAAGACAAATACTGTGCATGATCTCACTTGTATGTGCTTCTAGAGTCCACCAACCTGAGGTTCCTACTTGTGGAATGGCGGCTACCCAGAGGCCGTGGTAGAAGGGACATAGGTACAGTTTCAACTGGGGAAAAGGTCAAGGGCCTCGTGGCTTGTGGTAGCTTTACAAACACGTGAATGTCCGTGATGCTGTAGGGTGGTACACTCATGCTGAATTTTGCCAGGTGTATTTTACTCCCAAAATAAGGTAAAAATACTAAAACACTTTTGTCTCTCTTCAAACAACAAAAATCCCCCAAAACCCAAGTTCTGGAGTTGGGCTATCTGAGCATTACGGACTATTATACATCCAAAGTTACTAAATTCAACTTTCATTTTCTCATCTGTAAAATAGGGAGAACCCTATTCAAAGAACTGCTGCAAAAATCAAATGAGGTAGCATCAGGAAAGTTTTCAGAACAGTAAATGGCACTTAATATCAGCTCTTATTAGTATAAGTAAGAGACTTGTTTACTCAAGTTTTCAGAGAAATAGTCACTGGATGAGCCAGTGAGTTACCCTATTCAGTTTTACATTGTTACAATGGAGCTCTAGCTGACCATCTAGTAGTCAGGCCAGGAAAGAGCTGGATGTTCTGTGGAATCAGCTGGAACTTCAGATGTATTTTGAAGAAACACCAGTTTAGGCGCAGAGGCTAAAACCAAGTAATTTGGGAATATAAAACTCGTTCCAAATTCTAAAAAGTAAGGTAAATTATAAAACCACATCTTAATCCAAATTCTTGTAGTATGTTAGTAATGGAAAGAAATGGGGTGGTGTGGTATGGCCTTTACTTACCAGTTATTTATGAGGTGTGGATTACGTGTCAGCATGCAAATACACACTGAATATTATGTGCACACGAACAACACCAAGTTGTATCTGGGCAATTAAAATACCTCAGTCTTTTAAAATTACAGTTCTTAAAAATATTTTTAGGCTGCTGACTTAAAGGTGATACCCTTGATTTGATATAAAAGGTAGAGAAAACTACTGAATGTGAATCTAGACAAAACTAAACCTGAAGCAAATTCAACACTGTAGCTGTGTCAACACACCTAGTCTCTTGTTGGCATTTATCCAAATTATAATACCAAAGAAAAATTAGAAAACTCAACTTTGAAAGCAAAAAACTATGTGGTAACAAATATCAAAGGTTGGTAAACTTTGCAACCAACATAGTATTTCATGACTGCTATGATACTCCAGTTCCTAGGCATGCTATCTACATCTTTTTACATATGAATATGTCTTCACAGCTCTAACTAGGCAAGTACTAAAATTTTCAAGTCCTTGTTTCTGGTTTATTTACTTTGAGAAACATTAAAAACAAGCCAATAACAAGACCCTTCAAATCACATAGCCCCAATGTATGGAAACAACTGTAAGGGGACCTGATTTAACATCTTTACAACTGAAAGAAAGGCTCTTGTCCAGTGCTGCCACAGCTAATCAAAAATAGGGTCAAGAAGAAACCCTCCAAGGTTGCTTAGGACATGATCTGAAAAGTTTCTGAATGTGATTATGAACTAGCGTGGGGTATTATGAGTATAAACAAGACTCCTACAGTTCTGTGGACTTTGACCATCCCTTTCTACTGTTTCTCCGTCAAGTAGCCCTTTAAAGACTTTTTTTTGACTCCTTCCAGAACCCTACCTGACTGTCATGGGTGAAAAAATGAGCCAAATGGCATTAGGTACACATCTTTCTATTGAAGCTGCAATTATGTACAAACTGTATCTGTCAGATATATGATCCCATCTTTTACAGTCAAGGGGCCTCTATGTCCAAAACATATTAGAAACAGATAAGACTTAAAATTTAGGAATTTAGCTTCTCATTGATATAGAGACCAAAATTCATCTGGAAACCTTTAACCAGCCTGGTAAGACATACACCAAGATCCTGTGTGGCATGTAACCAGATTCTGTCAGTATATTTCGTCTAAGAGTGCTAATTACAGAAAGCCATTTCCAGTCCATTAAATACATTTATTTTGACACTAAAAGGATTGTTGTAATGTTAACTGTCTCCCATTGCCTGAATGAAAGTGTCCTACAATTCTGGGTTTCAGATTCCACTACAGGATTACAGGTTACCTTGGTGCAATAATCAGAATCCACTGACATTTTTGACAATGGGACTAGGGCCAACTAGAGGAAGGGTGGTTTCTCTGCTTCTGCCAACACGAGCAACTACTGTACGAACACTAAGAGTGACAGACTGCAATCTTGGAAACACTGACTGGTGATGGGTAGCCAGGGGCAGGGACTAAACAGTCCTTTCAGATGCTGACTTTGGCTAGATTGGTACAGATTTTTCATAATTTTTAGGAAAAATGTTCTTCAAGCTCTATGCATCATTCCCAGAGCACAAAAGTGCTTAAAAAGCACTTTTTTCCATCACCACTTTCATGGGGACCACTTGAACAAATATGTTAAATTGATAAACATCCCACCACACTGTTTTACTGAAAGAGGGAAGATGTAAGAAAAACAGATGACAATCATCAACCTGAAGGGGGAAGATGTGATGCTACTGAAGAAACACATTCATACTTGTAATGAGCAAGGTTTAAGAAATACAAGATCTCACTAACACAATTCCTATAAAACAGTATAGGCTAGGCCTGAAGGCTAAAGAGAATTCAAGCTAGGGAATCTTAACTATAGAAACTATATTTATAAAAACTGGAGGGAGGCTAAGTTTGCAGATAATGATATCCTACCCCTGGATCAATATGATTCACATAACACTCTAGAATAGACTGTTAGTAGAAGACATAGCTTGTCAAGTATAGAATCTTCCCATGCCAGTGAGCTAACACAGTAACAACACAAAATATTATGTTCCTTGATTTAGACAAAAAAGGTCTAGTTCTCCTGAAACAGTATCACTTCATGTAATACATTTCAATTTCCCATACTGCTAGGAGAGGCTCATTGTTCTTACATTTTCTTCTGAGCTCTTCTCCTTATTGTAACATTCTGGTACTTGTGACTTATGTGGCCAAGACAAGTCAACAGTACACATTTAATGATAGCAAACATTCATAAGTATTCATGAGTACTCATAGTACTATACTATACTCATGAGAATACTCATAGTATTGTATGAGTATTCTCATTGAGTATTCTCGGTTGAGTATGTTCACCCAATACTTAATGTAATTTCCATGTTATTTAAAAGTAAGACTTCTCCAGTGGTATACTTCAATGTTTCAAATGGATAGATAGAAAATATTAAACAGATATGGATAATTATAGAATGGAAAAATCAAAAGGTAGTGACCTAATTAAAAATTATGATTTCTATAGTAAGGATAAAGTAGAATGCCTCTATATTTGTGTCATATCCTTGATAAGATGCCCAGCTTAAAACATCTAAATGGTGGCAGCTTTAAGACCCTACTGTAAGCTCCACTCCTCCATCCCCTAGCCTGTGTTTTTCTTAAGCACACAGTTTATAAGAACCTGCTGAGGCTGGCAGCACTGCTGATTTTGCTGAAAGAACTGCTAGTAAGATCTAATTTTCCAGTAATGCAGGCCCATAATCCCTGTCTGATTAGCAAAGGGCCTTTTCTTTTACTATCCAAAACCCCATTTCTTTCAAGACATTAGGCACAACCTATATGCATAAAATGGGAGGAAGGTTAATTTTTCAGACAGCGATTTTCTGCCCTTTATCAACTACTACATGAGTTATATAATATTCAAGACAACTGACTGCAGGAAATACAACATGTCAACATCACTGAAAATGCCAAAATGCCTTTTAATATTCAGAAAGGGAAACCAGAAAACTGAGCTCAAGTAAGTCTTAATAAGTGGAAACTAAGAAATTTACTTAGGGAGGAGACTGAGAGGAATATGAAAAGAATATAGAGGGAAAAGGAATTAGAAGTCACTGTCATGGCATGAGAAGAATTAGTGTCTCATTTATAAGCACCCAATCTGGGAAGACTTTAGTCTCTAGTTTGGCGATTACTGCATCTGTTAAAATATGACTTCTGGGCCCTCCCTGGTGGCACAGCAGGTTAAAGTACAACACTAACAAGCTAAAACCACTTCAACATGAATTCAATCCCCGGCCCTGGAGGTGACCCACATGGCGCGGCAGACCTCTCCTGACCCCACTGCTGCTCCCCTCAGCAGTGTACTTCGTCAATCTACCTATTCTGCTCCTCACTCTGTTTCTGCTGCTCCCCTCAGCAGTGTACTTCGTCAATCTACCTATTCTGCTCCTCACTCTGTTTCTGGTGAATCCTCTCACCACCCCTGCACCTCTGGCCTATAGCCCAGTTCTGTGTGTAAAAAAAAAAAAAAAAAGACTGCCTAAGTGTTTGATTAAAATTTACCAAGTTGCTTTATTTTTTTGGCCCATGGCTTTCATGCAAAAGGTAAGATCAGAATGTTTGGAACCTACATTTAGATATCCGAGAAAGACTAAAGCATCAAATAACCAACTGAAATACTTGGTCCTAGTTATAACTTGTAAAATTTCAACCTATGGAAAGGAAACAATAACACTTTTAAATTTAATGACAGTAAGATATCCAAAAACATCCTCTCCTAAAATATGAGAGAGGATATAATGAGCATGCTGAAAATGTAATGCAGCAGAACATTTCTGGTAATATTATCCCTCCTCCATCACTCAGTCACTCTAAGGTACTAGCTGTGAAAAGGCCTCTGAAAACACTATTTAACAGAAAGCTTCCAAATCCACAAAAGAAAAGAAACACTAAGGAAGATAAAAGACAAAGGAAGTGAAAGGCAAATAACCAGCTCAAAGGCACAGACAATAGTTAGGTGAAAAGAAATTTGATACTATACTTTGGTTTTGCATTTTTGTATTCTTCAGTGTCTGTGTCCTCGTCCTCTGAGTACCAATTATCTCCTCTTCCTCCAGCCAAGAGGCCCCTGGCCGCCAAGAGTCCTGCAGCATTTCCATAGCCAGTGTATTTCAGCAGGCTATCCACTGCAAAACAACAGAATATAAGTTTTCAGAGAGGAAACCTGGGGTGCTCACTATCATCACTGACCACTCATCAAAACAGTGAGGTGAGAGATACATGCCATGGCAATTAAGTCTTGAAATTAAAGTGTTTTCAGTAGTGGTTATACTGAACTAGGAATTCCCTTACGTGCTCTGAGGGCTAAAAGTCTTATTTCAGGTATCAGAAATCAAAATAGAGCTGCTCTAAGTACACTGCATACTGTGAGTTGGGCCCTGTGACACTGGTAAGGGCAGTAAGTTATTTATTTCTTTTACCAGTTTTAGAGAAATGCTTAGAAACCAATTAATAAAGGATTTGGAGGGGCAATATAAAAAAATACTAAAACTTATGGGAAGCCCCCGGGGATTACAACTGAGATGGAAAAAAATGCACAAAATGATGTAGAAATAAACTGATATATATTAAAAAAACAAAAACTTGATATTACAAATAGAATAGGCTGCGCCCTCCCTGGTGGTACAACGGGTTAGGACACAGCACTGCAAACTGGCCACAGCCGCTTCAGTGCCAGTTCAAGCCCCTGCCTAGAGGTGACCCACCCACATGGTGTAGGCAGACCTCTCCTGACCTGCCCGCTGCTCCCCTCAGCAGTGTACTTCATCAGTCTGCCTGTTCTGCTCCCTACTTGTCTCTGGTGAATCCTCTCACTACCCCTGTACCTCTGACTTGTACCCCAGTTCTGCATGCATAAATAATAAATCTTAAAACAAATAGAATAGGCTAAAATACTACTTTTGCAAAAAAGCTAGTACCCAGTATGTAAGCATATAAAACCCACTGAGAGGCCCTCCCTGGTGGTGCAGCGGGTTAAAGCGCAGCACCGAGAAGCTAAAGACACTTCCGTGTGAGTTCGATTCCCGCTGGCCCCGGAGGTGACCACATGGCGTGGCAGACCTCTCCTGACCCGCCGCTGCTCCCCTCAGCAGTGTACTTCGTTGACCTGCCTGTTCTACTCCCCACTCTGTCTCTGGCGAAGCCTCTCGCTGCCCCTGAGCCTCTGGCCTGTACCCCAGTTCGGTATACACAAATAAATAAATCTTTAAAAAAAAACAAAACAAAACAAACAAACAAACAAAAACACTGAGAAGGCAGGCCCAGAAATTAGACTGAAAGGATTTCAATAATGGCTCTACAAGCAACCAGATGGCTGACCTTGAAAGTAATTAATTTTGTAGCTCTGTACCCCAATTTTCTAATTTGGAAAATTAAAATATCTACCTTACAGGTTAATACATGCAAAGTGCTTTAAAAAGAATGTGGCACAAAACAAACACTCATTCTTTCCCCTGGAAATAGTAGGTAAACTATCATTGTAAATTATGAAATGCTTCAGTCCTATATAAATATCACCTTGTTAAATCAGTGTAAGGTGTTATTGCTACCATTAAGTTAAAAAAACTACACAGGGGAATCTAAACTGTAGGAATTTGGGGGGTTATCTCCAAGAAACGCAATTTCAAGGTGAATATAAGAATCTTCAATCAAATGATTACAATTGGCAAAATTGATTTATGGCTTTCAATATAATATTATCTTAAAGATAACTGTAGGGAACAAACCATAAAATACTCTATGAAAAATATAATTATTTTTAATATAATTATTAAATTATAATAATTTAGATCATTTACTAAAAAAAAAAGATGAAGTTCAGAACAGCAATTAAAATAACTAACTTTGGGGACTTGGAAAGAGGCAGTGAGCAGGGAAGTAGCTAGGAAAGAGGCGGGATGTATATGGAATCATGAAGTATGTGGGTAGGATAAATATTCCAGTATAGAGTTGTTCATGAAATTTCAAACACTTAGAGCTAAGACAGTTTGGGGCCAAATAAAAACTTCTGTTTTCTAAGAACACAGCAAACTGGTAAGATCTGTGCAAAAGAGAACATGAATTAATAATATAGATAAATTAAGTAAAGTTTGTTTTCGACCTTAAAACCTAGTGGTAATTGTGGTTACTTTGGTAATTATTCTCAGTGAGTGCTATATAGAATTATGTTAGAATTTAATAAGGGGCCACAAAAGCCCCTTGATATGCTCTCTCTAGCCAGCAGTGTCTCCTCAACACGGGATGGTTTAGACAAATTACTGGGTTCTTGAGGGGCAACTAGGGGAAGTGAATATCCAGTGTATTCTTAATATTCATGGAGGGCAGACATGACCCACTCACATGAGCAGGCAGAAAATGACTGAGGCTGATTGATGGGTCACAGATCTGAACCTACACGGCACTGACACTATCAAAGTAAGCATTTGATAAAGGTTCCAGAAAAGGATTCATTAAACTTGTGAAAGTCTACATTGAGATTCTATTAATAGTTTAAATAAGTACTTAAAAATATACAAAATGTAAACAGTGTATTATGGCTAGAGTAACACACTTTAAGAATGCATAATTCATTAGAAGCCAAAGTAGTTTAAAAAGGAGTAAAGAGAACATTATATAACCTGTTTTCCAGTGCAAAAATTCCTCCTAGAAGTTAGTTAATAGTGAAAATCCCTAGAACTTTTAGGAAAATAGCATTTACTGCTCATTCACTGGAAAAGACATTACGTACCAACTTTGTGATAGTTTGTATTGCAGAGAGAACCTAAATACCCTGCCTTTACACTAGATAAGGTAAATCAAATAAAAAAGAGAAAGTCAAGGTTTTTTTGCTATTTAAATACAGACTACAATGACTGGATAAAAAAGATGTGGTACATACATACAATGGAATATTACTCAGCAACCAAAAAAGAGAAACACATGTCTTTTGCAGCAACTTGGATGGAGCTGGAAAAGATCATGCTTAGTGAGATAAGCCAGAAAGAGAAAGAAAAATACCGGATGGTGTCACTCATAGCAGGAGTATAATGGACCAGGTGAGAAAATAACAAAAATAATGAACAACCATATACCAGAGACATTTTGCGGGGGTGGAGTGGGGAATGGGATCAAAAACAGGGGGGTGGGAGGGGATGGAAATGCATAAGATTATGGTAATGGCACACGGGTGACTTGGTGATTACAATTGAGATGGAAAAAAAATGTACAAAATGATGTAAAAATAAACTTTTGTAAAATAAAAAATAAACAGACTACAAAATTCTCACAATAAGAAGCATATTCTTTGTGAAGTTGTGATTGACATTATTTAGTGGGGCATTTCTAGCTAGTTTTTAGTCTGTTTTCAAATGCACTGTATAGTAATCTTATTTGATACTGGGTAAGTAGTAAAAGGAAAACTGACTAAACTTGGCTGTTAAATTGAGGTGCTAAAGCAAACAAAATATTTTTTGGGTGGTCCTTAAATTAAAAAAAGGCAAATATAATCTGTTCTTTGTCATAGTTATCATACACAGTTTTGTGACACTGCTGCAGAAATGAAACAGATCAGCTTTCAGTGAGAAAGTACCAACAAATACTTCACCACTATCATGATGAAGAGGGCACTATGAGCTGAGAAAAGCAACCACAGAAGCACTGTACACTTAACACCATGCTAACAGTCATTTCTTCTTACACAAACATGGGTTTTACTCCCTCTAGCATGAAAACAAACCAAAAAAGTTTTGCTCTTTACCAGAGAGACTGGCAGAACCGGATTCTACGCAGAGACCATTCCCTGTTTCTGCTATACAGAGGTGGGATTGTGAACCTTTCCCTTTCTTTCAAACACCACAACTTTTACGAATCCTCCAGTATAGCTTCCTCTCACTAGTCTCCCGTTTTCTAGTCTCCTACATCCCCATTCCCTTTCCACACAACTGCCTGATACCTTTGTATGATCCTATCACTTTCCTGGATAAAAACAGTCTTACAGGTTAAAGATCAATTTGCAAATCAGGACCTAAGGGTTCTTCATTTTCTGGCCTCTGTCTTTTTTACCAAACCCATTTCCTTTCCTGCACACGGAGGATTTCCCCACACCTTGACTTTCTCTTTTTCTTCTACATACCAAGGCTGTTTCTCATTTCTGTCCCCTTTTCCTGGGATTTCTCTGACCCTCTATATATCACCCAAACATTCCTCTTTTAGGCTGCCATATTATATGGCACATTTTTTCTCTTATGATGCTTACCATAGTGCACAGATTCCTTTATATGGGTAAATACATAGGACAGTGTATTCACCAGACTGAATTCATAGACAACACAAGAATCTGTTGTTTCATTAAATATTTATGGGTTACCTACAATCAGTAAAATTCTCTGTGAAACACGCAGGACATAAAAATGAAGAGATTTTGAAATGCAGTATCTAGAATGCAGGTTTGACAAAGAGTTACAACACTGCAATCTCAGAAGCATAAAAACAACAAAATGGTACAAGTCAGAGAATGATTAGCTCTGCCTGGGATAAATAAGAGAAGTGTTCAGAAGGATGATCTTCAAAGATAAAGTTTACCACACTAACAAAGAGAGGGAAAGGTATCCATGCAGCAGAAATGGCATCTGCTAAGCCAGGGAAATGTGCCAGAAACAATGCAAAATTCTCAGGCAAGGATAAAGAATTGAGTATTAATTAACAGAAAGTATAAGGTAGGAGTGTGCAGAAAATACCTTTCGGTAGGTCACAGAGGTAAAATTTGGACTTTACCATGCAACTCATAGGACATTATTAGAAGTTTTACAAAGGCAAATGACAAGATTATATTTGTATTTTAGAACTATTCCTGCTAGGCATGTGGAAAACAGACTGAAGAAAAGCTGACTAGAAACATATGACTATTTTAACAGTCAATGAAGAGACATAGATCTGTGAATCCCCAGCAAAAGGGCTGAGACAGACATGAAGGGAGAAGATGAGATCACAAGCAATATGAAGCGAGAGGGGCCAAAAGAGAACTCTAGGGATTATTAGCAATTAAATGTGGACAAAGGTCAGAGTTAGCAAATGAAATTGTAAAGAATGAAATTTAATATATGTGGCAGCAGAGGAACAAAGAGTGGTCAATAGTGTCAACTGTTCTAAGAGATATAGTAAGATAAAGACTAAAATAATTTCCATTATTAAAAAAAAATTCATTTGTAACCTTACTTTAAGCATTTGGGAGGGGCGAGGAGTAGAAGGAATGGATAGCCTGGTTTGCAGCAAGTTCAACACTGCGTGGTTAGTAAGGATGAGACAAAGAAAACCAAGTCTTTCAGGACGTGGAAGTCTAAGAAGTGCTAAGAAGTGAAGGGCAGCAACATGCAGAGGTGTGTGTAAGGAAAACAAAGGGAGGGTCAAACAACAAAAGAACAGAGGGTAACAACTGATAGAGCAAGGCTTCTGAGAGGACAGGAGGAGAAAAGATCAACCAGCAAGGGAGGCTTATTTCTGGGCTAAGCACACCATTCCTCTGAGCCTGAGACAAGGGAGGCAAAGGTGAGTCTACAGGCTGGGGCTCTGCAGTTCCCACCTTACTCACTCTGCAATTCAGCTCCTACCATGATGCCTGGCACGTAACGGGATTAGTGAATATGTGAAAAGATGAAAACCCACAAAGACAGGGATTCACTTTACAAATTACTTTCATTTATTAAGTTATGTAAGTCCAATTTTAAGGTCTCATTAGAAAACACACAATTTGCACTAACAAGTGATAAAAAAAATTCAGTCTTGTTAGAGCTCACCAAAACAAACAGCACTTAAATTAACCTGTGGGCCCTTACTGGAGAGGCAGTCTGAACACTCACAAGTGGACATCTGAGACCATCAAATGGCGTTTTCCTTTGCCGAGTCCTTCATACAATTTTGCCCTTTGAATCCCACCTCTTTTCAAGTATCTCTCTAATTTAGTTTCCATATTCTCATTTGATTGCTGCTTGCTTCCTCTGCACAGTGGACTGTGTAAGCCTCACTTGTGGTACCTTCATTTTCAAACTTAACTTTGAACAGTCCTAAGAGGAAAATTTAGTCACCCTGATAATTTTCACACTTACTCAATTTTAATATATTCTGCCTCCAAACTCCAAAATCTGCTTACTTATAAGCTGAACATAGACTACAGTGTGGAGGGTTTTTTTGGCCAAGTTTTCAAATTAGAATTGGAAACATTTTAAATCTGGAAAATTTTAGTAAAAATCCAGAGTCCTGGCTTTCTTGGAAATTTCGAAGATCTTCTAACTGTGGCTATGTTTCTTAAATTAGTGTTCCTAACAATCAAGAGATATTAGCTCCAATGTCCTTGCTCCAATCCTTTCTCACCTACGCACAGCCTACTGTCTTTCCCAATAATGAGCTAAGTGGGAGTTTTCTTTTATCAAGCTGTGTCCAGTGCATTTGACTTTCTTTTATTACCAGCCTGGGACATATAGGCATCGAGTTTGTGACTCTTGAGTTGTGATAAAAACAAAATAGAAACTTGTTTATCTTCATTGTCTCTGTAATCCCAGGGTTTAGCTCAAAATGTATTTGTTGAATGAGTAAATTTTTACTTCAATACAGTATAACTACTAAACTTATAATCATATTGGAAGAAAAGCAGATCAGTATTTTTTTTTAATATTTATGCATACAGAACTGGGGTACAGGCTAGAGGTGCAGGGGTGGTGAAGGGATTCACCAGAGGCAGAGTGGGGAGCAGAACAGGCAGATCGACAAAGTACACTGCTGCGGGGAACAGAGGGAAGAGATACGAGAGGTTTACTGCGCCGTGTGGAACCAGGGATCAAACTTGCACTGAAGTGGCTAGCTGCAGCTAGCTTGTAGTGCTATGCCCCAAACCACTATGCCACCAGGGAGGCACAACGGGCCCTCCCTGGTGGCACAGCAGGTTAAACCACAGCACTATGAAGCTATCGCAGCCACTGTAGCACAAGTTTGATTCCCAGCCAGGGAGGTGGCCCATATGGCACAGCAGGCCCCTCCCTGACCATCCATCAGCTGCTCCCCTCAGCTATGTACTTCATCAGTCAGTCTTTTCTGCTCCCCACTGTCTCTGGTGAATACTCTCACTGCACCTCTGTTCTGTACCCTAGTTCTTGGAAGAATGGATAAATAAATCTTAAAAAAAAAAAGCACAAGAAAGGAATACTCATTGTAGAAAAATTATAAAATTCATAGAATTCTAAAACATTACCAGTTATCTTAATATTCCAATGAAATAATGAATAACAATTTAGTGCATACTTTGATAAATCTTTTAAAATGAATAGATAACAGATGTCATTTAGATTTATGAACATACAAAACTGCACTTTAAAAGCTACAATATCAAGAAGATAGTATATGAAAGGCACTAAGAGCAGCCACTAAATTCTAAGAAATTAACTCTTTTTCTATGCCATGAAAGAATTGAATTGTTTAAAAGAGCAGATACTAAATAAACTATAATAGTTGAAGAGAATTCGGACAGGAAACAAGGCAAAAAGGAAAAGTACGCAAATTCAGGCGCTAGCCCTAAGCAGCTATGTGAGCTAGGAAAGTTCCTAAAACACTCTGAAGTACCAGTGTGCCTCATTTATGAAACTGAAACAATCATACTACTTACTTTAGGTGGTCATTACGAAAATTAAATGACATGCACACAATGTCTAATATATGACACCTCAATACATAGTAGCTGAATTTATTATCATCATTATGACATTGGTCAAATTATGTTGCTAATATATCATCTTAAGCACTGAAGTAGTGAGAGTGATTAGTCAGAAATGAAATTTAAAAATTCAATGGCTGTAACTCAGTAGCAGAAAAAAATCCCAAAGAAGGAGGTCCTTTCTTTCCCCAAAGAAGACATACAGATGGCCAACAGGTACATGACAAGGTGTTCAACATCACCAATCACTAGGGAAGTGCAAATCAAAATCACACTGAGATATCTTCCCATATTTGTTGGGATGGATCTTGTCAAGAAGACAAGAGGTAAGTGTTGGTGAGGACGTGGTGAAAAGGGAATCTTTGGCACAATGCTGGTGGCAGTTCTAATGGAAAACAGTATAGCAGGTACTAAAGAAATTAACAGAACTACCTATATGATCAAGCAATCCCATTTTTGGGTGTACCTCCAAAAGAAACAAAATCAGTAACACCAAGAGATATTTATACTCCCATGTTCATGACAGCATTATTCATGATGACAAAGATACAGAAACAAGTAAGTGTGCATTGGCAGGTGAATGGATAACAAAGACACAAACATACACATGCACAAACATATTGAGCCATGATAAGGAAGGAAATTCTGTCATATGAGACAAGATGGATGGACTACATGGGCATCATGCTAAGTGAAATAAGCCAGAAAGACAAATAATGTATGATCTAACTTGAGGGTGGAATCTAAAAAGCAACAAAAGTCAAACTCATAAAATAGTAGAATTGTGGTTACCAGAGTTGGGATGGAAAAAGGGAGGAGGTAACTGGTTAAGGACACAAGCTTTCAGTAATAACATGAATAAGTTCTGAGTACTGAATGTACCATGGTGACTACAGTTAATAATTCTGTATTGTACATTTGAAATTTGCTAACAGAGTAGGTCTTAAGCATTCTCACCACACAAAAAGATAATTTATGTGAAGTGATGGATGTGTTAATTAACCTGAGTGTGGTAATCATTTCACAATGTATAGCAAATCAGCACATTATATATTTCAAATATGTACAATTTTATCTATGACACTTCAATAAAGCACGTGGAGGGAGAAGAGAATTCAACCGACTTAAGTTTTTTATAGAAATGAAATTTTCCATATCAAAATTATCTAAGATCTCACAAAACTGGACTACTTCAAAAAAGAGTGGATACAAATCTGCTTAAATGGGAGTCTTATATTAATACATTTATAAACTAGGAGATTAAGAAATAGGTAAAAACATCTGAGTAACTTAAGTTCCTTGCTTGGAGATCTTACTTTCTGTAGAGCAAATAACCATATAACTTTAGGAAATATTTTTTTAATTGTTAAATGTGTCTCAGAAGGTAAGTATTTATTACACTCTAGTAGTTATTTAATTTCTCCCTACCTCTATTGTATCTGAAGGATAAGGGCTGATTCTTAGGCATTTCTGTATTTTCAGTCCGTGTATCATATTACTTACATTCAACAACTATTCGCTGACTAAAGAACCTAGTGAAGAAACCAAAACTCCTATAGTTTTACTTCCAAAGGGAATTAAAAAGGTGAACTTATCCGGACCTTTGCCTAGTTATCAAAATAGCAGCACTTGAATTACTTAAGCAGTTGTTTCATAATAGTTCCAGGTCCTGACTCATCCAGATTAGTAAGTTTGGTTTGTTTATAGATATCAGGAGGTCTCAAAGACTGTAAGAATATACTACACTTTATCTTAGCCAAAGGGCCTACCGTGACAGACTTTAGGAATATAAATTTTTTTAAAATTATTAATCTAAATAGCTCTTTAGGTCCTCTAATAACAGAGAACAAGCTTTCAAAAGAGTAGAATGAGAGGGTTACTTTTAACAGAAAAACTTCTCAAATTTCCACAAAGATAAAAAACATAAAGGCAGAAGAGTCTAGCTTACCTCTCTCTTTGCAAAGGACAAAAAGAAATTCAGCAGCAATTTGCTTGACTCCAAGGTCAACGTGTGTCATGAGGCGGACCAGCTTATTTCTCACAGTTGAGCCAACTTCAGGCCGATTTGTCACATCCCTCAATGGTGGTAAAACCTAACCGCACAAATGCAAAAGCCACTGTGAATTATGCACTAGAGTAAGCAAGGATGGTAATAATGAACTGGTCGGTCTTGTCATATATTTTGAGCTTCATTTTTATAAGAGTGGAAATACACTCTTACCCATAAAAAAATGGGTTTACTTCCAAATAAAACAAAAACTTTAGATAAAATATCATAACTATAATGAGGTTTCATTTGAAAAGAGAGTGCTCTTTACTACTACCATGATATATGCAAAATCCATTTCCAATTTTTACTTAGCTCAGCTTTTAGAATGTCTATTTGCCTCTATCAAAATCCATTTTAAATTCTGAGTGACGTTTCTCTTTTTTCCATAGACATTTTCATAACCTCCTGACTTACACTGATTTTTACCCTTTAATTCCCGCAGCATGCTCTCCAATATTTATTTAAAGATTCTTTACTTATATTTTCTAGTTGTTTCATAATAAAAAGTTACCAATCATCCAGTACTTTCTACATGCTACTTAGGGTAATAAATGGCTACATACATTCCTCTAGGCATCCTCACAGTAATCCTGCAAAGGAGGTAACACAGCACTAGCATCACTATGTTACTGAAGTATTCTCAGAGGGCTTATGCAGTTTGCTTTGTCTGTCTGTTCCTTTGTTCACTCACTCATCACCTATCCACCCTGACGCCTTCTAGTTTTCCTCCTGTCTCAGTGGTGGTTTCACCTCAACTACTTCTGCCAAATCTCTTTTGTTAGTGTGTTGGAACACTCAAGGTCGAGTTCTTGTTCTTCATGGTTTTCACTCTCTAGTGATGTTCTCATCTAGTTTTATGATTTTATATGCTCTATATACTGATAGATCCCTATATTATATCTCCATCTTGATTTTTTTCCTGATTTCAAACTTTTGTAGGTCTCTAAAATTTAGCATGTTTTCAACAGAACTTTTGACATTTCCACCACAGCTGTTCTTTCTAGTTTTCCATCTCATTAAATGGCAAGTACATTTTTCCAACCAGCTAGCAAAAAAATCTTACAAACAGAATTGACTTTTCTCTTTTTCAACCCCACATCGAATAGATCAACAAACATACTCACAATCTATTCATTTCTCACTACCTTCTAAGTCTAACTAAAACCAAACCCCCAATATTTCCCTCCTGGAATATTACCCTACCCTCTTACATGATTATCAGTTTCCATTCTGGTCCCTCTAATTTCTTCTCTACTTAGCAGCTAGCATAATCTTTTTGACAGTCAGGTTATATCATTGTTTTCCTAAAAGTTCTCCAGTTTCCATGGCATTGCATCTCACAGCAAAAGATGAAGTCTTTACAACTCCCTTAATTCCACTTAACTCCACTGTCCTTATAACCCCATATAACTGGGCTTCCTGTTACTTTTCTAACTACATTTCTGCTATACTTACTGCTTACACTACCACAACCACAAAGACCTCCATGAACTCCTTCAACATGTCAGCACTGCCCTGTCTCATGGTCTTTGTACCTGCTGTCCCTCTGCCTAGAAACTTTTTCTAGAAATTTGAAAGCTTAAAGATCCCTTGAAGTCTTTCTATTCAAATGTCACTTCAAGAAGACATTCCCTGCCTACCCTGTATAGCAAATCTTTAGTATTCTCTTTCTTACCATCTACCTTACTGTATTTTAATCTTCCTATAGCACTTACTACCACCTCACACAGTATTTCTTTACTGTCTACTTCCTTCCAGTGTCAATTTCAAGGAGGTAGAAATTTTTTCTTATATTTGTTGCTCAGCACTTGGCATATTATAGGTGTCCAATAAATACTTCCTGAAAGAAATTAATGTTTTATTGATAACTGACTTCTATAAGGTAGGTACTATGCTAGGAAATGAGGATAAATTGCAAAGTCAAATTATTATTGACTGTGTCAGGCTCTTTATTTGTATATTATTTAATTATCTTTCTTGGTCACCACCATATACAGTGCACCCTCCTCATAAAGGAAGTTAATTTTTGTATTCTGTACTTTGTATTTTGACTATCTTTTATTTGTCATATCTCATCTCTTCAACTATAGTTCTTTGAAGACAAGGAGTGGGTTTCATAATCTTCCATATCTATATAATGTGTGGTCAAGACCTTCACTTAAAGAAGCTGTTTATTAAGATTTTTTAGAAAGGTTTATTTATTTATCTATGTATATAGAACTGGGGTACAAGCCAGAGGTGCAGGGGCAGTGAGAGGATTCACCAGAGACAGTGGGGAGCAGAACAGGCAGACTGATGAAGTGCACTGCCGAGGGGAGCAGTGGGCAGGTCAGGAGAGGCCTGCCGCGCCATGTGGGTCACCACTGGGGCAGGGGATTGAACTTTCATGGAAGCAGCTGCAGCTAGCTTGCAGTGCTGCATCCTAACCTGTTGCGCCACCAGGGAGGGCACTTATTAAGATTTTTTTGTTTAGCTGGCCTCATTATAGCTAGTACAATCCAGTTCAGTTGAACTTGCATCCTTATGTGAAAGTCAAAATACAAAAACTTATTCTCATGTTTTATTATTTTTCACCAAGTTCTTCTAGTTAGCTGAGAATGTCTTAAAATAACCAAACTCAGAAGTGACCTTAATTCTTCAATTAACTTTTTTGTTTTGTTTAAATGATTGTTTATGCTTTCAGCAATCTCTCTCTTCCAAAAGAGTATACATTCTAGAAAGTCTATACTTTCTAAACTCTTCTTATTGGTAAATATCTATTAGTGTGCTCTATACATGGTAAGGTGCTTACTAAACCTTGCCCATAAATAGAGGGGGAAAATAAATTTGATTCATTTATTAGGGATAGAGTTATATTATCAACAAATAAATAGTGGGGTGAGGCCCTCCCTGGTGGCGCAGCGGGTTAAAGCACAGCACTAAGAAGCTAAAGCCACTTCCACATGAGTTCGATCCCCGCCTGCCCCGGAGGTGACCACATGGTGCGGCAGACCCCTCCTGACCCGCCCGCTGCTCCCCTCAGCAGTGTACTTCGTCCATCTGCCTGTTCTGCTCCACTCTGTCTTTAGTGAATCCTCTCACCCTCCACATCTCTGGCTTGTACCCCAGTTCTGTATGAATAAATAAACCTTTAATAAAAAATAGTGGGGTGAATGTACTGACATGCAGAAAAAAGAGGCAGGGATAGGTAGAGGGTATGGGAACCAGGAGCTCAGTTTCAGGTATGTCAAATGTAAGACACCAGAACACTGGAGAGGAAATGACTAGGTTGGCTGTCGCTTGGCGTCAGTTCAGGATGGGAGGTATAAATTTGGGGGTCATGAGCCCAGAGATTATTTTCAAACTATGAATGCTAAATGTGACCATCAAAGGATTGGAAATTGAGACAAAGACACTAAGGGTTCTCAAACACTGCTAAGTAGAAGAACCTATTATGTCCTAGAACCTAAAGTAAGTATCCCAAGAAGAAAATACTCAATTTAACATCAAAATGCTACTGGAAACATAAAAAAGGAACAACTGGCAACATTAGGATGACATTTTTGATAAACACCTTTGCTATAGGATAGAACGCAAGAAAAAAATAATTACAATAGATTCAGAAGAGAATCAAAGATGAACAAAAAGAACAGAGTGCTAATAAAGGAAATCCTTCTGAAGAACACTACATTAGAAAAGCAGGAAAACAGGGAGGTACCTGAAAAGTGATTAAAGGAAATAGTTTTTTTCCTTTTAAGATGGAAGATGTGTTTTGTGTACACACAGAAAATGATCCAGTATATTAATAAAAGATTAATCTGAGAAGGAAGAAATGCAGGAGTTAAGTTCTTGAAAAGGTAAGAGGGAAAGGGATCCTGGATAGGAAGGCAGAGAATAGTCACAGAAAGAAGAGGGCCAATTGGCCCATCGTGACAAAGGGGACAAAGGACCTGACAGTGAGCTGCACAAAGGTCAGTGGGGAGAGATGAATTTCCCTCTGATCTCTTCCTGCGAACACTGACCACTGCCTTACTGTTGGTTCTCTCTTGTGCTGGTCTCCTCCTGCCTACTCTTATTTCTCTAGTCCATCCTACAGATAGTAGCTGGAGTATCTTTAAATATGAATGAGATCACATCACTTCTCTTAAAATGGTCCAATCTCACTTAGAAGAAAATGAAAAATCTGGTATGATTTTCTGTTGTTTCCTCCTTACTTTCCTTCCTTCATCTACCACTTTCTCCTCTGTGCACTGCTGTTTAGCCCTCTTACTTTTCTTTAAGCATACTGAAGCACTCTTCTCAGGGACTTGGAACTCCTCTCTGGTACATCACTCTTCCAGATATTCTCAGAGATACTTTACACATTTAAATGTTTCCTCAGAGGGGGGTCTATAATTCCCCTAAGCCTCCCCTTTTCCTTCTGTTTTTTCTTTGAACATTCATGTATATATTTAATGTTCCCCTTCCCCCTATAAGATAAATTTCACAAGGCAAAGAATCATCTGTCAGTGTTTAGAATATAGCACATAGTAGGTATAAGTAAACATACTGAATAAATGAATGAATGACTTAAAACACATATACATAGGATCACTTATTTCTTGATTAGGAAGATTTCAAAGATTAATCCTAACTTTCCCAAATTTCTGACTTTCTGGGTATGTGGGGGCACCCATGAAAGAATTTAACTCATCCTATGTTAAAACACACACACACACACACACACAAGATTAACTTTCATATGTAATAGGCACTAAGCATTTACCTGATCTTTGAGATATTTTCTGATGTTTCGATGGGCTCGGGAACATTCTGTTAATAAGCTGAGAACTGGAGTTAGACCCTCTCTATAGCTGCTTCCCTATAAAGAAAACCATACATACCACATTAGTTTAGTTTCTAACAGTATTAGTCCACTATAATTGAGCATATTAATACTCCTTTTCTGAGGTGGAGAAATCTTATGTTACCAAATCTTTACAAATTATTTAAAAGTTACTTTTCTAACACTATTTCCACTTGATCAGCTTCATATTTACTAATATCCTTTTATCCTTCCTGGATTTTCCTACATTTTCTAGAGTCTTCACTGGCCCAGTCAATGACCTTAGAGGATCAAAAAAAAAAAAAAAATGTCCTTTAAGTATTTTGGAAAGTGTTCATCACCAGGTGTTTGGGGAGAATAGTTTTTACTTCTATCTTTTAACAAAATACCTACACAAAATTTAATTCATTTTTCCTTGTGTTCATGTATTAGTCACAATTTTGGTATTATCCTTTCAGCAATTTATTATATAACAAAGGAGAGTATAAACCATAATGGAAGATGTCAGCCATACCTATATGTATACAAATATATAAGCTTAGATTTAAAAATCATGTCTTGTGATGATTGTACAGGTCACATTTACATTCTTTATAAGTATCTTCCCAAAACCTTTATCAGCCTTACCTTGTCTATTCTCTTCTCCATAAAAGTGAGCAAAACATGAATAGCTTCCATATTCATACCATTGTATACCATGGTATTGTTTTTCGACACTGTTTCTTTCTCATCTGTATTATCACTAGGCAGTCCATCTAGAGTGGTTGCCTCTTGCGCTGTTTCTTCATGGGTTAACGGACAAATGAGAACATCCAAACAAGAGACCGGAACGTTGCTTAAAAGGTTGACTGCATTGCTGAAAAGCAATTTAAAAATACAAAAATTTAATTTGATTAGTCCTTTAAAATACAAGCATAAGAAGGTCAGAAGTGACTTTCAGGAGTCAATTAAAATTTTTCTTTTTCAAAATGTGCCATTAATATTACTTGGTATTTACTAAGAGAATATAAAGAACTGCTTCCAATACACACATGACAAATTAAACAAATGTTAAATAGACACACAATGTCACATGATGTCATGTTACTTTCTGAGATGTTAAAATAGGAATTAGTGAGCTTTAACACTAGCTCTTTAATTTTATTATGACATAATACTAGCTTTACATTTTTTTCCTTGGGCTTTTAAATCCTTTTGTGGTTCCAAAAGGATTTTTTATTCCTTAGATTACAATAGAAAGCATTTTGAGAAGCACTAAATATAAGTAGCTTATCACAGAGACAACAGCATTAAAAACCAAGTACTACAGGATTGTTCTGCTCTTTCTCAATGTATAAAACACACATTTTAGATCATCTCATTTTTTGGTAAGGCATTAGCAGAAAATAAGTAATGGTGCTTTTCTGCCTCTCTCATCACCGAGTCTGTTTAAAAAAAGCTAAATAACTACTTGAAATTTCTACTCCCTAGGTTTCTTTGCTATCTGTTAATGAATACATGAGCCTGGGATGCACACCAGTAGGGGGAACCCAAACCTTGTAATATCGGTATTCCCTAAAAATCTTTTCCTATTGTCAGTGTACTAGAGACTATGATAATAATATTGTGAAAATTAGACATATTTCCAATTACATTTTCCTTAATGCATTATTGCATATTCTTGCATCTAACAGGAGAGGTGATGTTCTTGCTAACTGGATCTTATAAGCCTGTGCCTCAGAACTTCCTGATAAACAACAATGGAAAGACAGGCATTATATTTCCTACTGACAGAGAAGCAGATCTAAAAATAACTACATCCTGACTAAAAATAAACTCTTGCAAATGCAATTTTAAAGACTAGTCACTTGAAAACTAAATTCAGCATTTCATCTGATTGTCTTGATTTATACCACAGTAGTTCCTTTTAATTTATAGTTATGCCCTCAAAAAGAAAATAAACAACAAATCAGAAATCATACAAAGTTTGTTCTTTTCTTGCCCTTAAGTCTGGTTGCATTTCTCCAAAATAAATACTTCCTTTCTTTAAGTCTGGTTGCATTTCTCCAAAATAAGTACTTCCTTTCTTTTCATATCACGGAAAAAATTAATAACAAATCAAAGTTTAAAAATTACAGTGCACAACGAGTGGCAATGTATAGGGCATCAAAAGACTCTTAATTATGAACAAAAATAATTTAACAAGTCCTATGAGAGAATGATTCCTGAACTTTTTAGTTGTCCATACTAAAAATGTACTACCATTGTTAATACTGTTGGTTGCTGCTCCTATCCTTACGGTTATTGTCTGGTAAACTGTAAGTAATCACAACTGACTGAGAAGTTTTGTTTTTCCCACAAATATTCTTTTAAAATTTTTTGCAATACTTTGTGGTCTTTTGGCTCTTAAAAATGTTTTACTATCTGACAAAGATTTGGAAACATCAAAAGCCGTAAATTCATTAGGAATGAAAGAAAGAAAACATGAACTCTACCTTAGAATTTCTTAAATTTTTTTTTTCCCCAAACACACGGCAACCGACTCTGGCATCCATAATATGAGTCCATGAATCTACCATAGAGACTACACTGAATAAGTTTAGAACTATCCATTTCATTACAAAGTAGTTTTTCTTAAATTCATTTAAAATAAAGTTTCCAGGAATTTGGTAAATTTAAGAATCCAAATGTAGAGTTTGACTCAACAAATATTTGAAGGTTTTATTTAGGCTTTTCAAGAAAAATTCCCATTTCCCCATTTCTCATTAAACTGGGTTCCCAAACAACTACAAAATTAATTTTCTGGCTCACTGTGTTTGAGCTATTCTTTTTAAGTAAGGAGGGCCAGTTTTTTTGAGCTCTGTCACTTCTCTGACAGTTTTATTTGTGGTAAAAGAGTATGAAATTCTCCAGCTACCAGGAAGTCAGCGACTATGCACAGAACTGCACAATGGTGTTTGCATTCCTACTCCAGGGGGTAGGAATACTGTGTATATTACTCTCTCCTTTTCAGCTTCCCAGAGATCATTAATCACTGGGACATGACATCCTCCCACTCAGGCTCCCAGCCCCCTCCTGATATGCAGATTCAAAAGCAAGGCATATTTAGAGCTCTTTAATGCCCTGATTAAAGCCTTGTTAGTTGTGGTAGAAAGAAGGTAATCTAAAATCCAGTTCCATGTCAACACTGGTCTAAACATAATTTAATACCATGTGACACTGAGGAGCACAAAAGGCTGGTATATATATAGCTGTTAACAAATTTTCCTGGTGAAATGTATCTTCTTTATATTTGGGACCCACGCATCTTTTTCCCTTATAAAGTCTACTTAAATAAACTTACAATTGTCAAAAAAATTTTAGATGTAAATATCTAAACTTAATCTAAGTCAATTGAGTACTCAGTAATTACACAAGCATTATTTTATATAAGTGTTATAAAAATAGAGAAAAATCCTTGCCCTTATGGAGGTTATTTCCCACCATGGCAAGAACAGACAACAAAAATAAACAAGAGAAAAAAAGAGCATTCTCAGTTAAGTGGTTTGCAGAAGTGGGGAAAAACACAAGCAGGTGAGATAGGTTGTAATTATGAACAGGGTGATCAGGGCAGACTCCCTCAGGACGTGTCTTTTAAGCAAAAACTTAAAGAAGTTAGGGAACTAGCTGAGCTGCATGGCTATCCTGGGGAAGAGGCAGTTCAGGAAGAAGACCAAGAACAGTGATTGGCTTGTCTGAAGAACTGCAAAGACATTGGTGCAGCTGAACTACCTCACACAGGGAGAGAAATTGGATAGGAGGTCAGATAACAGTAGGCCAGGTTGGTCTTGCTGGTCATTGCAGCTCTAAGTTTTTATCTGGAGCTGAATGGGAAATTGCTGCAGGGTTTTTGCATGGTGATATGCTCTCACTTATGTTAAACATTTAAGAACAGTTATTAAGATGTCAAAGGTCAGAAGAACCAGTTAGGGTATTACTATAATAATTCAGGTGAGTGAACAGGGTGCTAACAGTGAAATGGTTATATCCAGCTATGTTTTGAAGGATTCCCTCACAGGATAATTGGGAAGTGTGACCATTCAAGGTTCTAGCCTTAACAAGTAAACTGAAGTAGGAAAAGCTGCAGGGAAAGCAGGTTTTAAGAGAAGATTAAGAGCTTAATTTTGGATGTTATGTCTGGGATGCCCCATTAGACTTCCAAGTGGAGCTATTAGAACCAAGTTAACTAAGGCTCTAAAGTTCAAGGAGGGAAATCTGGGTTAGAGAGATAAACAATGGAGTCATTAGCATGCTGATGGTATTTACAGATAGAAGACTAGATCAGATTAACTAATCCAATTTACTGAAGTTTCAGTAAGGGAGTGAGTGTGGATTGAAATACTATAAAGGTTGAGCCTGGGTTACTTTATCCATTGTGAGAAATAAAGTAAGAAATTTTAACTGGTACCCACTTCTAGAGGGTACCAGAGTGGCCAGAGGCCTCGTGACCCCCTGTGAAACCCTACTAACCCCTGCCCAGACCAGCAGAGGCCTTGTGACCTTCCAGGAGATCCTGCCAGCTGCTTGCCCAGATAAGTGAGACCCCCTGACCAGTGAGGGGAGAAAGCCACACCCATAGGAAACCCCACATACACGAGCTGAGTTCCAAAGCTAATAACCGGTTGAGGGAAAAACCCAACAAATGGCAACATGAGTTCTCAAAGGAATAGTACAAACAATACAGAAAACAAATCTGCAGAATTCAAGTTCATAGCTATGGAAGCTATATTCTTCCTGTCAGACAGTTTAGAATGGTAATGATAAGGTCAAAGACATGGAAAAAACTCAGAAAAAAAAGTAAATATCCTTATAAATAAAATCAAGGTGCTGGAGACAGAAAATGAAACCCTAAGTAAGATAAAAATGGAGTTTCAGGATTTCAAAAGAGAAATGTAAGAGGTTAAAAATTCAGGAGAAAGTAACAGCAGTAGAACAGATGAAGTGGAACAAAAGTCATGGAGTTGAATATGCAAATGTATAAATAACCCAAGTGGAAAGTAAAGAGAAAAGACCACTGAATTAAAGTGTAAATCTAAGAAAATTAAAAAATACCTCAAGACAAATTGAAAACAAGCACACTACTATCCAAAACTAATGGGACACAGCAAAAACACTAAGAGGGAAATATGTAACAAATATAGGCTCACATCAAGAAATAAGAAATAGCTGAAATATGTAACCTTCTCTCCCAACTTGAGTAAGCAGAATAAGACTCCATATAAAAACAAAACAAAACAAAAAAACTCCATTTTTATCTTATCTAGGGCTTCATTTTCTGTGTCTGGCACCCTGATTTTATTTCTAAAACTTCTAAAAGCCCAGTAGAAGAACAGAAATAACAAAAATCAAAGCACATGTAAATGAACTAAAAAAAGAAAAAAAAAAGCAGTCGAAAAGATCAACAAAACCAAAACCAGTTCCTTGGGGGGGAGGAGGGAGATAGACAAGGCTCACCAAGAAAATAAGGGCAAAAACTCAAATAAACAGAACCAATAATTAAAGAGAAGAAATCATGACAGACACTGCAGAAACTCAGAAGTTCATTAGACCTACTATGAACATCTATATTATGTGAAAAAAATGAATAACCTTGAAGAAGTGACAAGTCAGTAGATTTATACAATCACCTAAGACTGAACAGGGACAAAAACAGAAACCCTAAACAAACCAATCACAAACAAGGAAATTGAAACTAATCAAAACTCACAAAAAAAAACAAAAAAAAAACAAAAACAAGAGTCCTGGACCAGATGACTTCACAAGTGAATTCTATTAAAACTTCAAAGATGATCTAACTGCTCAAAGTTGTATCTATCTTGCTCAAACTCTTCCAAAGAA